TGTATGTTTTTATGTTTCATTGATGGTGATTGTTTGACGTTTTATTTGGTTTGAACACATTTGTGTGATTTTAGTTGTAATTGTATTTTAGTTCTCATTTGTAAGTTTTAAAGTAGAATTAGGAATTAGAATGTTGGAAAGGAGGATTTTGAAGTGAAGAAAAAGGAATTTTAACTGTCCAGGAGCAAATACCCGACCGGGTAGGAAATTGCACCCGGTCGGGTCTGATTTGAAAACCGAAGCACTGAGGAAACATTTGGGCCCGGTCGGGCCCCATACCTCACCCGGTCGGGCGAGAAGTGACCGGGGACAACCCGGTATGCAAAGATCACCAGAACGTGGGGAAATATCTGATTTTGACCGGACCCGGTCGGGTGAGTACTTGACCCGGTCGGGTACCCGACCAAAGGTGTTGAAAAACACCTATAAATAGCACACTTTTTCTTCACAAAAAATCATCCTTTCTTCCATACTCTTTAGCTCAGTTTAGAATAGCATTTCTTTATATTTTTCTAGCTATGTTTAGTCTCCAAATGAGGAGCTAAACTTCCATTCTTGGTGTTGCTCTTGAAGCTTGTTGATTATTAAAGTTGTGAGTTATTTTCTTAACTTCTTTCCTTGAATATTAATTAATAGTTCTTTCCTTAATATCATCTCTATATTAATGTTGGGGAGTGTTGCTAAGATGACAATTAGTTAACATCTCGACATTAGTTAGAATGGTATTTTCTTCCTCTATATTAATGTTGGGGAGTGTTGCTAATATGACAATTAGTTAGCATCTTGATATTAATTATAGTATGATTCATCTTCTTTAATAATATTCTTCCTTGAATATTGATTAATTCCTACTCATATTTCATATTAATATTTTGAACACTACTTAAAGGATCAACTAGTTTTGTTTCATATATTAATTATTACTAGAAACGATCAACGAACCGATGGTTAATCGTTGATGGTTTCACAAGTAAGTAACTTTGGTTTATTAATGCACGGTCGTGGTTAATAAACTTAAGAGGGATTAATTTTGTTGGTTAAACCGAAACCGTTGTGTTGAGGTTATCAATCTCAATTGATTTCATCAAGGAGTTAGAAAGATTAAATGCTACTATTAAATCGGTATAAGACGTTGTTCTATATTTGAATAATAGTAAGGGTTATTAATGAACGGTTGTTGTTAATAACTACCCTCGATGAAGTGGATATACTCCCCGATTGAGTATTCGAGAGAGAATAAGTTATAGATATAACAATGATCGACTAAAATATATCAACAAGTGGAAAGTAGCAATGCCAAGTCCTTTTTATCTTTGAATTAAACACATATAGGTTGTTCATCTTAGTTTTTAATTAAATTAAATCACTCAATCCAAATCCCCTCTTTTTATTTACTAAGTATCATAAAAAGAGAATTATTCCTTTCCCTGTGGATACGAACTCTACTACGCTATACTACGTATAAGTGTTAGTATTGAAAATTATTTTGACGCACCGTGACAAAGTGCTCGTCAGGGGTACCAAAGATAAAACCAGCTCTAGTGACTTTCTGGATTTGACTATTGATGAGGTTGGAAATATAGATGTGGAACTCTGCCCGCTTGGAAGAATTGTTAAGGCTTCTATCTCCTCACTTGGGCTAATAAAGCTGGGGGCAGATTAGGGCTGGGAAGCAAAGAGATTTCAGGAATCCTTCTGTAATGGGCTGTTTGGAAAATGGTTTATACACGCATCAGATAGTAGTTCTGAGTGGTCGTACATTGATTGGAATGGAATTCATCCCTCTGTTTCTGCTGGTGATGCTCCAATCTGTAAGGATCTGGTTACTGGTCAGGGTTCACTTGTACCCTTGATAGGTCAGTTGAATGAGCCTGCAAAGCTTTCTATGTCTAGAAATGCTACATGGACTTTGTTTAATATCTGTCAAGGCCAGCCACCAACCTCCCTTGACCTGTTCAAATCTGCATGGCGAGTTCGTGAGCAACTAAACTTTATGGATGAGGAATATACTATGACTGATGCTTGTTGGGCAGCTTCGTATCTATTGGATGGACCAAAGGATAAGCCTCAAGCTGTCATTGAAGCACCTGTCAATGTTACATTGGTACATCTCTTTCAAAATGCAGAAATTGACATCAAGGTGACTGTCCGGGCTATCTCTAATGCCATCTCTGGAGGTTCTTCGGATCAACTTACGTTCAGGGCAAGAAAAGGCTGCATTAAGCCACTCTGTGCTCCTTGGTTATGTCCAGACCCCAGAATTGTCAATGTGTACCTTGTAGGACTGGAGAACCTTCTGAATGTAGGCGAGGTGGACAAAGACTTGGGATTGAACAGTGAGGTAAGTTCTTTTGAAAAGATGTTGGAACAAGGGCAAAGGATACAACAGGAAACACAGATGCTTGAAGATTCAAACTTTTGCAACATAAGAGAGTATTCTGCCTCCAGGACCTTGTCACTGTTCCTTGCAGTGAAGAACATGAAGATGCAGCTTCAAGTACTAGAGCTAAAGGTCCAAAGATTTGGGAGGTACTGGGAAGGAAGAGGCGCCAGGATAAAGATAATTTTGAAGATCAAGGCTGTTTCCTATCACCCACCTTGAGGACAAGGTGGTTGTTCAAGGGGGGAGATATGATAGGGACAGGGACCTTCAATAATAATAATAATAATAGTAGAATTATACTAAGGAGTGTGATATTGTATAAATAAGGGTTTTGGGCTAGGTATTAGTTAGCTTGGGCCAGCCCATAAGAGATGAAAATTGAAGAAGAATAGATACGATAGTACTGAAGGTAAATGAGAATGATACAATAGAGACAGTTCGAGAACCACCATCTATTTCATCAATATTATTTGGGCAAGATTTAAAGAATATTGGGATCCTTCACTCTTCATCCTCTGTGTGTACTGGAACAGAGGTTTTAGAAAAGGAAATGAAGGAAATGTCTCCCAGTGAATTGGACATTATTGAAGAAAAGCCCTTACAAGTGATTGCTTCTGACATTTCACAGTTTGAGGGGGTTGTTGGCATGTCAACTGAATCAGGTTCAGATTCTGGCACTGAAATTGAATATATACCTATTAGAAGGCCTCTTTCGGATCAAGAACTACTGTAACGCTTACTAGATTCTTCTTGGAATTCAAATCCTCCAAAATTCAAACATAAGATCCTCAGAAGGAGTGAACGCATCGCTTCAAAACAAAAGCTTTTATCTGGAAACTAATTGCATGTTTTGGTCTCTCATGTTAATTTAGCAGTATTCTCTTCATTAGCTTTGAGGAGTACTTATTATCTTCCCACATTAGAGCATGTAATCATTTTTCTTTCTCAATAACACTTACTTTCGCGTTAAAAAAACACTTTAAAGCTAAATGCTGGAAGCTGGTATTTGGTTTCTTCTAACTACTTCTAGGATTTTATGTCAATATTATGAACTTTGAGGAAAATTATAATGGCCAATTTCTTCACTTAAACCCAAAATGCCCCCTACTCTCCCTCGTACGTCTTCTTCTTTCTTCTGCGGCACATCACTTCACCGGCTCCTTTCCTCCTCAATACACACACAGCTTATCCTGATGTGAGCCATTAGAGGCTACCGAGTCGCCGGAGGCCCACTCAAATATAAATTGTGATTTCAAAAAAAATTGTTGAATCTAAAAAATTGCTTATCTGGATGAAGTCATCCAAGAAGAACACAAGCTCCACATTTATCTCTTTTGCGGTCAAGAAGAACACGACCAAGAACAAAACGAGCCAAAGAAGAACATGATCTGGGTGTGTGAAGTCTGGAATTAGCTTTCAAGACAATAAGGGCTAACATTTAATTTAAGAAAGGGGCATTTACTAGGTATATAAGAATAGACCATAATAGGACCGACTTTTTTATCAAACATTTCAACTTTTTTCCTTTTTACCATAATCACTTCTATTCTAAAACACTATAAATCTTTCAATAAACCACTTCCTTTAAAATCACTTTAAAAATCATTTTTTAAAGCAAAAGCAAATACAAACACTCCCTTGCTCATTCACTAGGTATATAAGAATAGACCATAATAGGACCGACTTTGGGAGCCATCCTTCCTTACTCAATCACTTTTGATTTTTTCTATGAAACTGTAATTTGCTGGTCTGGTCTGGTCTGTTTTAGTCTGGTCTGCTCTGGCATATAAGAATATACCATAATAGGACCGACTTTGGGAGCCATCCTCCCTTACTCAATCACTTTTGATTTTTTCTATGAAACTCAATAATAATAATAATAATAATAATAATAATAATAAATAATCATCATCATCATAATAATGATCATCATAATAATGAAAATCATAATAATGATAATCATAATAATAATCATAATAATAATAGTAATAATAATAGTAATAATAGTAATAATAGTAATAATAGTAATACTAGTAATAGTACTAATAATACTAATAATAACAACAACAACAATAATAATAATAATAATAATAGCAATAAAAATAAAATATGATCTGGTCTGGTTTGGTCTGATCTGGTCTGTTTTAGTCTGGTCTGGTCTATTTCGGTCTGGTCTATTTTGGTCTGGTCTGGTCTGGGACGAATTAGGATCCCAGTAAAAACAACCTTTATGTAGCTGATATCATAGAATGTTAGAACTTGATATAGTTTTTATTCAAACTTAATTGCGTTTTCCATTAAGTTGATAGATATCATTTATCTATATATTTATGTAAATCAACAAAATACATTTTTAAAAAGTCTATGGGATTCAAAATCTATTGGTTTTTTTATAAAAATTCACGTATTAAAAAATCCCGGAAAAGTATGAAAAAGAAGAAAAGTTAGAAAAACAGAAAAGAGATGATAATGGAAAAAACAAAAAGTATGATAGTGAAAAAGGAAAAGTAAAAGTTCGAAAAGAGAATATGAGAAAACAAGGCAAACAAACTTCCAAAAATAGAAATTGGCCAAACAGAATCTAAAAAAAAATCAGAGTAATTTATTCTAAAATGGGGGAGCACTTAATTAATTCATAAAGGAAATTGAAGTAGAAAAAACAATTTATGAATACTATTCCCCAAAATCAAATAGCTACACCCTGCTTTAACCAATTTAGAGATAAAACTTGAGTAGTTTGACATCTTCATATCTGATCTACATTATCATTTAACCTAATTGGTTCTTTTTCAGTCTACAAGGAAGGAAATAGAAAAAAGAACTAATGAAAAGAAGAAGAAGAAAAAAAAAGAATATTATGCGCGAGCCACCAGATGGATGGGCGGACGTATAGACAAGAACAACTGTGCATGGTTTATTGTTCAGGCCTGGGACGAGCCAACCAGAGAGCACTGAGAGCTCTGAGGCGGTGGAAATACTCCGCAATGGCAAGAAGGCACCGAGCCGACTGACGGGTCGTTAGAATCTGATGAAGACGATGCATTGTCTGGTGCCTTAGATGATCAGCCTGCATTCAACGAATTACTATGTATATTACTACCTCCTGTCCCAAAAAACTTTGATAACAATATATTTTGATTGGAAATTATTTGTAATATAAAAATGATACGAAAAAAATTTTTATGTTAAAAATACTTAATTTCATAAAAGTATAAAATTTATAACTTTTAAAATATCATAAATATCAAAATCATAGACTCATAGTCCAAATTTTATGAGATAAAAAAAGGTTTATGTTAAGTAGCATCAACTCCATCTCATTCCTATCCAAATATCAGCCCAATATCGACTTTAAATTCATTGCCCAATGACGTAATGACCTTCAATGTCTAACTTAGTAATTAACTTTAGCCTCAATGTCCATCACGTATTCACATTAATTCATTGTATAAGATTCTTTATAATAATTTTTTCAAGAAAAGTAAGTAATTAATTCTAAATATATGCTTCGGAACAAAAACTAATTAGCTTAACTGAATAAAACTTTGCTTGATGTTGAATTTAAAATGTAAGTGAAAATGTACATAAATAAGTAAGGATGTCTTTTCAAGAAAAGTAAGTAATATTTTAGGAAACCCCAAAAAAAGTATGTCCAAAAATGAAATGGTTAAGAGTTTTTCAATTTATACAAAGCCAATGATTAAGGTAGAAGGGCTCTACATGCTGAGGAATTGGAATGACAATGAAGATATTGCTGATAAATTATAGATAACATTTTCAAAAGAAAAAGATAATTATACCTGAAAAAATTGTCATGTTTTACTGATGATAGTTTGAACAATTATGCCTAACTTTTACATAACCTCTAACCTTTAGTAAATAAAGAGGACAAAAACATTAAATAATTAACTGGAATTTTTTTTAAAAAGGCTTATTACAATAACTAAAAATTCTATACAAACTTTGAGTAATACCCTTTTGTCTCAAAATAAAAGTCATGTTTCTGTTTTCATTACTTCTTAGTCCGTAATCCTATATGCAATTCATAGATTTTCATTCTTTAGGTTTTTTATCTTAATTAATCTATGTGCACAAATGTTTTGTAAATTTTATTTCGTCACCTAGAAAATAGGAAGAAATTTTATTTAATTATTATTATTATTATTATTAGTTTGAATTGAAGATGGAGTGTATAGTGGTTTCTATGTCGTTTTAATTCCGAACAGTTAGAAGATGGGCAAGCAACTTTAATGTTGGCTGGGGTGTATGGTCTCAAAGGATAAAGGTGCCGTTCAAGTCAAACGGTTATGACTGTGACATCATGGGAATATGGGCACAAATTTATGTATGAAAGGGATGTCTTTATACTCTTTTTTGGAAGTCCCATTTCTACAAGTTTGTGCTGCTGTGACTTCAATACACCCCTACCCTCACAGAAATTCATGAATCCAAATATGCATATTGTTCTTCAATTCTTTGTGGACCAGTCCACGTCTTCTACTCTACCTTAGCTTACCTAGCCATCACAAACAAATGGCGGCCCTAAAAACCATTATTCTTAATTAAAATAAGCTACTACCTCTGTCCATCTAAGTTTGGGACAAAAGAATGAGGTGTGATTTTAAAGAAAAAATAGAAGTGTGTCCGACACTTCCTTCCATCTAACCAGATACCAGCACCACCGTACTTAATAATTTTTTCAAGAAAAGTAAGTAATTAATTCTAAATTGATAAAGTGTGAATAAAAAAGAATGAATTGTAACTACGCAAATATTATCAAATATGGTATGAGACAAACTTAATGGGACGGACGAAAAAGGTAAAACGGGACAAAGTTAAGGGGCGGAGGGAGTAGATCACATATAGTGGGTAGATTCGGAAATTTGATTAAGACATGTCTCAAGAGTAATTATACTATACTTTAATATTGCATTGGGTTTCAGCCTATCATAGCCTTAGTATTTGGAATTGATTCTACTTCTGCTTCAATTATTATTTAAAAATGAAACACAATCAAAATCGATTCTTTTAGAAGTTGACCTCCCTCAACTTTTAAAAATCGCGTGTAAGAACAATTGGAGCACTTAGGAATATTTTTGAACTATTACCTAAACACTCCAATATATGTTTCTGTTATCTTAAGGAGCATGCCCTACACACTCCAATATATGTTTGTGTAAAGAAAGAGAAATAGTTTTAAATACTATATTCAAGCTAGGTCGACCCATATATAGTACAATTATCGAGGGGCTAAACATAACAAGTGGGTCCTACAATCGAGCTCGATTAAAGGGAAAAGATGAGACAATATGGCATGGCAAGCTTTAATTTATCCCTTATTTATAATGTTAAATACGATGAACATTATCATCATTTTATTTTACGCACACAGCTGGTAATGGAATAGAATGGAGTGGCCGAATGGGCCACTTAATCGCCGAGAAGGTTTTCCAACCCGTGTAGAAGTTCTCTAACTTCTCTTTGTCCCCCACCTTTCCGATCCCTATCATATGTGTGTGAATGTTTCATATCTTATTACCATTCAAGTGTAGGAAAATAATTCTTCACAATAAAGTTGGCTGAAAGTGAAGCTCTCCTTATTAAGCTATTGCATGATCATGTCATTTAAACTTTGTTATCTCCATAAGTTAAAGATGATAATAACAATACATAAGATAAATATATTCTTTTAAGATTTTTTCAATATCGAAAGTAGATTATTGATCAATTAAGGACCGGAACATTGAAAACTATCAATTTAAGAGATTTGTGATTGGAAACTATGAGTATAAAACTTACAACGTCTTATTTTTTACTCCCTTTGTTCCGAAAGAGTTCGTCAAATTGACTTTTCTAAGTCAACGACAATCAACTTTGACCAATAATATTTCTTAATATGAAATTATTTTGAATATGAAAATTACATCAAAACGTTCTTTGTTCAAAATATTTTCATAAAAGTATAAAATTTACAAATTATATACAAATATAACAATTTAAATCATTGTCCAAAGTTTATCATCATTGACCAAGAAAAGTCAATATGACGAACCTTTTCGGGACAGAGGTAGCATGAAATAGTGAAAACGATATTACCTACGAGTTGTAATTGGACAACTATAGTATCACTTTTAAAATTGGACAAAATAGAAATGAGTTATTAAGGAATAGACTCAAACACCCTTAACCATATCCGCTTTCTCCCTCCTCTCTCGTTCACTCGTCCGCTTTTTCCCTCCTCTCTCGTTCACTCGTTCCCACTCTACCATTCCCTCCTCTGTCCAACACTTTCCTTCCATCACACCAGATACCAGCACCACCCCAAGGATTTTTGTTCCATCACAAGAGCACCCCGCATTCCCCTATTTAAAAATAAGGGTGATGTACAAGAATGTGCCAACTATCGAGGGATTAAACTTATGAGTCACACCATGAAACTTTGGGAGCGAGTGGTTGAGCAAAGACTTCGTAAAATTGTGAAAAATTTGGAGAATCAATTTGGTTTTATGCCTGGACGCTCAACAACTGAGGCCATTCACCTTCTTAGGCAAGTTGTGGAGAAGAATAGAGACACAAAAAAGGATCTGCATTTGGTGTTCATTGACTTAGAAAAGGCATATGATAGGATCCCTCGAGAAGTCCTTTGGTGGGCCTTAACTAGAAAAGGCATATCACGTAAGTATATCAGTATCATCATGGATATGTATGATGTTTGTACTACAAGTGTCTGCACTAGTGTAGGGAGGACCGCATAGTTCACTATTACTATCGGAGTGCATCAAGGATCTGCTTTGAGTCCTTTCTTATTTGTTATAGTCATGGATGAACTTACGAAGTCAATTCAAAAAGATATACCGTGGTGCATGATGTTTGCCGACGATATTATTTTGATTGATGACATGCAATCTGGTGTTAAAGCGAAGTTGGAAGTATGACGACAAACATTGGAGACCAAGGGTTTCAGACTAAGCCGAAGCAAGATTGAGTATATGGAGTGGAAGTTTGGTGGAGGTAGAAGTAGTAGCAACACTAGGATTACTCTTGATGGTAAAGAGATATCAGTGTGTGATATGTTCGGTTACTTGGGCTTCATAATTCAGAACATAGTCACATGGTTCACGGTACGGTTCGATACGGGAACGAGGAACGGGAACACGGTTCGCTACAGGTAGCGTATCCGATTCGGAGGGGGTAGGTTCATTTCGGTACGCGTTCGGTACGATGTATCATATGTTTGGTACGTTGTACCTAATATTTCGGTACTATAATAAAAATATAAAACTGAATTATAGAATACATATTTCAACATTGAACAAAAACAGATTTCATAACATGATTTCATAACATTAAACAAAAGAAAAAACATTAATATTCAAGAAACATTTCAAGCAAAACAAAAAAACAGTACTACAAAGACATCTTCCCTCAATTTATAAGAGTTAATTAAAATGTAAAATTGATGAGTAGGAATAATTGGGGCCAAAAAACGAAACGAAGTCTGGAACGCTGATCCGAAACGAAGGGCCAGAAAACAAAGGGCCGTATAATTTTAATATGCCTATTACTACAGGCGTCTGAAACAAGGAGTACATAAATTATTACCTACGCGTCTCAAAGTAGTACTACGACGATTCAGTTTTGTTTGAAATTGCGACCGAACTGGTAGGGCTGCGGAAACAATGAGTTTTTTCGCGATTCGCGATTTAGAGCGTCTCTTATGCTGTCGCGGATCGACTCTAGTTAGAGTTGGGGAACGAACTAGTTAGCGATGGGGAACGATTCGGGAAGCGATCACAAACGACTGCAGCAGCGTTTTACACAGCGATCCGAATAACGTTTGGATCGCTTTCGTACCGCGTTTGGGTACGGGGCGTTCGGAACGTAGTTTGCGGCTGTTTCAGCGATTTATGTTTCTATGATTCAGAAGGACGGTGAATTAGATGGAGATGCATTTTATAGATTTAGAGCTGGGTGGATGAAATGGAAGAGTGCATCAGGATTTCTATGTGATCGAGGTATGCCGACTAAACTGAAATGTAAGTTTTATCGAACATCAATTAGGCCTGCATTAATGTATGGCGTAGAGTGTTGGGCGGTGAAGCAATGTCACATTCAAAAGATGAGTGTGGTAGAGATGTGTATGTTGTGTTGGATGTGTAGACAGACCAGAAAAGACCGTTTGAGGAATGAGATACTCAGACAAAAGGTGAGAGTAGCACCTATAGAGGATAAGATGCAGGAGTCTCGTTTGCGGTGGTTTGGGCATATGCGTAGAAGGCCGAGTGATGCACCTGTTGGACGACTTGAAGGGTGGGGAGAAGAGACAGAGAAGAGAGGGAGAGGAAGACCCAAACAGACTTGGATTAGAGTAATAAGAACTGATACACGTCTTCTTGGGTTGGATGAGAGTATGACTTTGGAGAGAGCAAAGTGGAGGGCGCACATCCGTGTGGATGATTGATGCGTCTTTTCTACATTTCCTATCTCTTTTCTTTTATCGTTTATCTTCTTTATCTTTTTATATTCTTATGTTATATTTATCTTCTAGCTTTTTTATGCTCTTTTATCTTTCTATCTTTTATCTTTCTTATATTCTTATTTTATTGTTATCTTATATTTATTTATCTTTATTTTATACCTTTTATCTCCCCCATCTGTCTCTCTGTTTGACATCGATATCATATATCAATTAATGTTAGTCGACCCCAAATTCTTTTGGGATTAAGGCTTGGATGTTGTTGTTGCAAGAGCACCCCCGGGGAGGTTTCTTCTTCGATGATATATTTTCTTCAATGCTGGTTCTTTCCTTCAAATTGGAGGCTGCTCTCTTCTTCAATGGTTGTCTTCTCGATCGGCGACATTAATTCTCTTCTTTGAACTGCAATGCCTATCTCTTCTTCAATGAGGACCTTCATTAAAGACCACCAATGACGGTTGCTCCATTAGTGAATAATATTCCAAATCGAGGGACTCCATGTGCTTCGATATATCCATTCAAGCTTGCGACGGCTAGGTTACGAGCTTGCAGTGGCTAGGGTTATGGGGCATATGGCTAGCCAGAGTGGCGTGGAACTAGTGTTAGGGTTGTGAGACTGGAAGGGGGGCTGCAGCGTAGCGAGTGCATGGGAAGGGGACACATGCAAGGAGCGGGGAGGGGGTTGGGGGAGGGCTGTAAGCAGGGGCGGAGCCATGACACTGGGCCGGATTGTGTCAGTACAAAGAATATTTTTGAAAAAAAAATGATATGAAATCTTTTACACTAAAAATACAGACATTTTTTAAATTTGAGCTGGGTCGGGGCCAGGGTTGGCCCCTCCCTAGCTACGCCCTAGCTACGCCCTGGCTGTAAGCGGTGTCACCTACTAGGGGGTGACGGCCACAGTGTCATTGTTGCTAGCATGACGGCAATGGTTGCTCCGTCAATGGACGAAGAAGGTACAAAATTAGGTCATTATGGGTGATTCTAAATGTAGTAACTGGTATTGATAACTGTGAACAACGACGATCACTGACTCACTGTCTAAGGTGGTAACTAGTCGGCAACGGTGAATCGGTGATCACTGGGGCGGTAATCACTATGTCTGACCAAGTCACTTGGGCAGATAAAATCATCAAGAGTGATTTAACGACTTTAATGCTTATTGATAATTTTTCTAGAAATTAAATAAAAAGGTGTTTTGAAGCGGCCAAATGTCTCACCGCCACCCACAACCAACACTAAACCGGATTGGTAAACCCTATTAAATCATCATAAATCCTAAACTCAAACCTTAAAGACTAGTAATTTTATCCAGACATAAGTCATTACTCCTATTTAAAGAAATTAAAAGATGAATTTCTATTTCCGTATTTCTACTGTAGACAATTTCTTAAAAAATTAATTAATGTTCCTACTTCTTTCATTAGCTAATGAATAAACAAAATTGTGTTATACATCAAGTAACGTGATAGATTTTAGGGGACAATAGTGTCATCTAAATTTTGTGTCAATAATTAATTAGTTTGATTCCATTGTAAATCTACTATACATCAATGCAATTGGTTGGTTCAGCCTGGCCCCGCATAATTTTGACTAGTGCGTGTTTGTGTTTGGGTAAGACTGAACCCATTGACGGAGTTTAGGGGTAAAAAATCATACCATTTGTACGTACGTGAAGATATGCGAATCCGAAGTAACAGAATCAAGGTCGTATACATATATAGTCCGTAACGTATAACGTATAATTATTTATTATTGGTGCGTTACATTTTTATTCTAGTTTGGTGATTGGTCAGCATTATAGCCGTTGACACATTACTCGTATTAAGTTGACTTTCAGGTCAAATTTCCGTATATTTATGATATGAAATTCGTATAATGTTTCATACTTCAAATTTAACTACCATTGTCTCACTTTCAAATTCATACTAGTATGTTCTAATAACGAGTTACTCCATACTATTTTGCGGACGTATTACCGCAAGTACTACGTATTCAAATAATGACTTTCGTCTAAATCTTGATTTAGGACGTGTTTACTTGTACTAAAATTTTATGGTCTGATCTGGTCTGGTGTGGTCTAGTAAGTGTTTGGTCTCTGTGTATTTAACTATCCAATTCTGTTATGATCTGATCTGGTTTGGAACTGAAATTAGTCCAAGTAAAAACCTTTAATCGGATTGACTATAAATCAAATTAACATAATATAGTTTGGGTATATCCTCTACTCATTAATAAGAAATTATGGATATACACAAAAAGTGTACATGTTTTATACACACGTGTTTACATAGACATATGCAACTAAGGGATGTATAACTAGTTTTTTCTGATATAATAAGAAGATAATAGGGAGTGTTAAATTTGTAAAATCCCCCAGGTTAAACACCGTACCATGACGTTTTCATCTATAAGAGCATGTTCTCTAAGTGAATTATGTGGCCCTCCAAGTGAATTGTATTAAAAATTGACAAAATATATGCCATGTTCTCTATGTCACGAAGAAATCTGCGGGCTTGTATAAGAGCACCCATTATATATAAGATGTCGTTTTAGTTTCCTCACCATCCTAATAAATAATCAAAAGTACCAAAAGCTTCTTCAATTTCATAAAATGTCCTTAATCTCTCTATGTGCCTTAAATTATTATAAGCATATTGTATCAGTGTAATTCTATGAATGAAGTCAATGGCCCGTGAATCGATCTACAAAATCACATTTTTTTCAACTACTTTTATTTTAGTCTATTTATTGGTCATTATTTCAATAATACAACATTAGTTAACACTTAAGGCCATAATAGTGCATCTAAAAAGTAAATTAGGACCAAAAGAAGCTAGGGTAACTCCATAAGACAATACATTTAGGACCATCATAAGACATCTAATGATATAGGTATGACTAAGTTGGATTATTATTATTAATTAATAATGTTACCTGTCGGACGAAGCCCTCAAGAGTGGAGAGTTTGTTAATAGCAGTAGCCATTTGGCCCATATAATTGCCCATGTTTGAAGGATAGGTGAGTGAATCAGATGCAATGGTGTCCGAAAGAGACTGATTCAAAGCTCCCAATCCTTGTGATAAAGCTTCTTCTGCTTCGTGTGTGGATTGTTGCAACCCACATAACCCTATCAGCTGCTGCTCCGTTATCGGCTCTATTTGCCCCATGATTACCTGTTCAATATTCAAGTCCGTGGAGGACCTCGGGTAAGTGCCGCTTCGAATCCCGAAATTTAGTATTAGTGTTAATGATATCCGAAATTTAGTTTTACTTAATACGTATCATGAAAGGAGGGATTTGACTTTGTACCTCATTTTTTTGGTGATATTGAACTTTACACCCTACTTTCAAAAGACTTCGACTTTAACTTTACACTTCATTCAGAAATTTTCTTCACAAAATGTTTATGATGGTGTGCAAAGTCAAAGTCTTTTTAAATGTGGTGCAAAGTTCAATATCACCCAAAAAAATGAGGTGCAAAGAGCAACCACACATCATAAAATCAGCGCCTCAGCTCTATCCGGGAAAATGACCACTACGTAGTATTAACTAAAGTGATAATTCCATCAAGAGCAAACGATAATTGTTGTGAGATGTGTAAACGGCCACGGGATTGTGGTGGAGCGATTCCTTCGAATCACTACACTATTTTGTAAAGTAACATTGATTTTTTGCTAAGAATGAATTATCTTTATCCAAAATTGAGACCAATGGTATGACATGACTTCTATCAAGTGCAATTAGTTATTGTAGTTGTTGCACTAAAAGAGAAATTTGTGAATGACTTCTTTAAATATTTATCCATGACTATTATTAATATGGTGAGATCTTCTAATTATAAAACAAAAGATGAGGTTCGAAAAAATCAATACAAAACTATGGTAGAGAGAAAAGGATGAACTTACAATTGGTAGAGGGTTAAGCTAAATTAACTTAATTGTGTTGACTTAAATTAGTAAAGCTGATGCTATTTAGTTTTCGAAATTATATATCAAAATTCATCATTTACACACCAATTTTACTCTTTAATTTAATCAAACACGTCATGCGAGATTCGATGTCGAATATATTTGTTTTCGTCAAACAACTTATTTTCGTGAAGGGAAGTAGGTAAAGTAAAGACTAAAGATCATAGCAGGTAACACTTTTTTATTTTTATGACCTGCACATTGTTATCCGATCCTCGTCATGTTCATGCATTTTAATGTACAATCGTTATTTAGTGATGAAAAAATTATACCAAACTAGATTACACTTATGTCACTGGTATTGTGGGACCAAATATTTCAAGTTAAAACTTATACTTCATTCAAGAAATTTAAATTATTCCTATGATAACTTATTAAAGTACTCGTGTAGTCGTGTGGGCATAATATGATGTGAAAATTGTGTAAATAACAAAACTGATGATTTGTTTGTATACTAAACTATTGTACCTTTTAAACTTGATATAAAACATCACTATCGATCTCCGTCTAAGAAAAAAAGAATCTTATTTGAAATATGTACAACTTTATAATTTGAATAATCAGATGCAACTATCTCGAAGTCATTTTCCAATGTGTTGAAAGTGTATATGAATGTATTATCAGTTTAGTGTGTGTACAATCACACTGACATGTATAATAGGGTAGTAACAGACAATGCTTTAAGATGGGGCGGGGAATAATACCTAACAGGAGCCTATTTCTGCATAACTATACATGACCTATTTCAATTGGTCCTTTATTTAGAGAACACAATCGATTATAGTAGTATAAGAAAAGTGTGAATCTCCAATTCTTTTTTAGTAAAAAATTCAGGTTTGATCCTAGGAGTATTAAACTTATACTCCGTTTGAAATATCTTCTGCAACAGTAAAATACCACGTACAAATTATTAACTACTCAGTATATCCGTATATAGAGTATGTTTTTATGTCTACTCTTTTTATCAAGACGGAAAGGGTGACATTCCATATTGTATATAATAGTTAGTTCATATTTACCACCGGGGACCTAGCTCACCTAGTAGGAATATGGTGCCACAATGGAGAAGTTATGAGTTCAATTAGAAGCAATAACTTTGGATGGAATATAATTACACGTACTCTCTTTCAATCAAATTGGGATTAAAACTCAACTTATATCCTCTCAAATAAGTGTCCCATCAATTATGAGAACCTTCAAGGATGAAGTGTATCTTTTTAGTTAGTTCATATTTACCGTTATGAGAACTATTTTAGCACATACGAAGTATGTAGTCTCTAACTTTGTCCACGTTTTATGTATGAATATATTTCCCTTGTCGCCCTTGACCCTTATAATTAAATATCAAACACCTCTTAGGTGATTCTAAACACTTCGAGTTTATCCTCATGTTAGTGTAATACGGTAGGACCCCATTATTGAATTGTGATGGATTTGCATTTCATTTTCAGAAACATTAATGTGTGCATTCCATCCATCTAAATTTGTGAATCCATCTAAATTTGCGAAGGAGTAGGATGTCAAGTCAAATAATTTTAAAATTGAATATATAGGCAGCAGTCATTGATATTTTTGCAAATAAGATGCAAATCCAAAATCAATTTCCCCTTTAAATTGCAAAAATGACATTTTTATCTAAGCTAGCGAGGCAAAGAGGTGGGGATCATGGATCATTAAAAAAGTTAGGCCCACAAAAATTTCCTTATGTGTACTATTAATATACTCGGTATTTACTATTCAGTACAAAGTACTCCACAGAACCCACAAAATTTTCCTTATGAGGAGTACATTTTTTTAATCTCCAATGCTACAACGTGCACGGTGCACGTGTGGCATGAGAGAGATAGAAACAAAAGATTGATTTTATGACATTTCTCTCTCCGTCTTTCCACGGTCTTATGTGTTTTGGATAAGTTTTTTTCTGGAATGTCAACCACAATGTCTACATCTAGACATTGTGTTTGACATTGTGAAGAAAAACTTACCAAAATGATATAAGATTTTCAAATAAGTAGAGAAATATTCTATTTATTGTTTTTTCATTGACTATCTCTCATGCCAGGTATGCACCGTTAACGTTTTAGCATTGAAGATGCTCTTAGGCAATCCTGATTCTTCTTATTATTGAATTTATGAAATAGAACTATATATAAAAGGAAAAAAGCATAAAACAGAGTGGAAAATCGAGATTTGAAATGTTGTTTGCAAATACTGTAGAAAGAAAATGTCCCTATTTAAGAAGAATTCAATTTAGCACTTTAACTTTTACTTTTAATCTCATACTTGCTACTTATGTTTGAATTACTTCTTATAAATTACTCCCTCCGTTCCTATTTTATCTTCCAAATTGGTTTGGAACACAATTTAAGAAAGTGAGTATTGTGTGGTGGAGAATTGTGTAGAGGATAGAGAAATGTGTAAGAAATGTTGTGAACCACTAATTCATTACTAAAAAGGGAAAGTGGAAGTTTTAATTGGAACGGACGAAAAAAGAAAGTTGAAAGTTTTAATAGGAACGGAGGGAGTAGTTTTTTACTGTGACTATTTGTATAGCTTTATTATGTTTTATTATTATATTTAATGACATAAGCACACGATAAGCAAAAATGCTAATTTTCTGTGGGTACGGTGAAGACTACTCCGTATTTTAAAATTTTAAGGATGACATTATTAATAATAATGCGCAATATTCATGAAATAATAATAATAAATTAATTAAATTAAAGCGGCTAAGGTATGATATACGATTAGGGTTTTGAGATATCGTAAAACATGTACATGCGTATAGTATGTAGGTACCTTGAGAACTTCAGACGGCCGGAAACCGCCCATCCACATGAAGCAGCGCTCTGCCGGAGTTTTCCACATGCCGGAGACGAGATGGAAAACATCAGATTTGAGAATGATGCCCTTGAGGCTGATCATTTGGTCAAAATGCGCTAAGCAGTTGTCCACGTACATCCTCAACTCGTTCTCCGGCAAGTGCTCTTGAACGGCGCTCCGGAGCTCACACATCAGCCGGTGGTCCTCCTCCATCCACCGGGCGTACTCCATGTCGAAAACCGCCGCATCTACAAATCATTAATTATATTAATTAATGCACTCAATCTTGTCATTATTGTGCTTACGCTATGCCTAAGAACAAGTGGTTGCTTAAACAGGTTTGGTCAAAAGGATTAATTAAAGTGATGTGTAATTACATGGATACAATAATCTAAACTTTTGTTTTCGTGCTCTCTTCAATTATTACACATAATACGATAATAATGCAAAGTGTATGATTGTTTAGTATTTATTGTAGTCATTTGCTCATTTATTACCAATATTTTTCAAATTGCTTATAGTAAGTTATTTAATTTAATCTTTTCTTTTTCTCTCTCAAAAAAAAAAAACTTTTCTTTTTGTTATGTCCTTTTTTCTTTTTCTTTCTTTGGAAATTCTTTTGCTCTTTCTTTAAAAGAATCTTTATTTGCTTTAAATAAAATAAACCTCGCTCGGATCTGAAATGACGAATGAGAAAACAAGAATAAAAAATAAAAAATAAAATAGGACTCATCACATAGGAGTTTTGACCCACAAACAAATACACTCATCATTATGGGTTATCATTTAAAGTTTTTAATGGATGTTGAAATTAAAATTTATACATTTTCTATGACATTGTTCTTTCTCAATAGTGGTGAAACCAATTTAGGTACACCCTCAATCCCATAAAGTTCTTCTCATTTATCATTTTGGTATAGTATGTCTCAAATTAAAAAAAAATCTCATTTTCCTTTTTTGAAAATTTTGTGTGACTAACATTCCCCAAAAACAAAAGAAAACATGCATTCCACTTTATTCTCACGTTCTTAAATTATTATCCAAGTCAAATCGAGAATAATTATACGTGACAAAGGGAGTATTAAATAGATATTAATTGACCACTTCACTACAACTAAATATTTCTTAGGTTTTATTCCCAAAATAATTTAATTTCAATAAAAAGATAAAACTAAAACTTCTTATTTGATGAGTGAATAAACTCCAACAAAGGTGACCCTATTTGAAAAAATGTGTTAATTTAGAGACAAGAAGATGTTTTAAATTGGAATGAGTTTAATCTTTGACCAGACTAGATTAGACGATACTTAAATTAACAAGATCGGACTTGAATAATGGTAAAGTATACATAGAACAGACATTTACAAATCAAACTTGTACAAATCGCACCAGATTAGACCAAAAATTTACAGTCAAAATAAAAATTACATTACAGTCAAATAAAAATTTATAATGCGGGACCAAAAGCTTACACTCTAGCTTATCTTGATATGTTTTCATATATATATATATATATATATATATATATATATATATATAAATAAATAAATAAATGTTTTTATGTATATGTAATTAAACACTACAAAATATACTACGGTATATTTTTTGTTGTGAGTATACTATTTACGGACCTTCATTTTTTCGGTTGTATAGCATGAGTTACCATTTCAGTTCATAATTTTGGCTACTAATATAATTAACTATATACTCCGTATGTTTTAGTATATTTAATTTGGAAGGTGTTGATGTTTTGGAAATACATTTAGAGAAATAATCTAAATTTTATAAAATTCACATAACACAATTTTTATGAATTAGTAGAAATGAAAAAATGAATAGTCTCCAAGAATCAAAGTACTGTATTTGATACGAATTGAACAAATGAATACAAATATATATATAGACACACATAAGACTTGTTACACTGGAACATGTTATACCTGAGCTCATGTTGGCCATGATCGGAAGACCTTGTTCTCCCCCTAACATGGAACCTCCGCCAAAATAAATCCCCTAGACATTTAAAACGATATAATTAAATTGAAGAACTTCCTCAATTTAGTACCCAATTCAAAAGATAGACTAGTTATTAATGTAGGGCTTCAAAGATGAAAATGATGATCAATATAAAGTTTAAATCATTGAAAACTATCAATTGAAGACATAAAATATTATGATTTTTGAATTTTCATTTTAACTATGTTTTTGAAAGAAATTAATTTTTAAATTTTATTGAACTTTTCTGAATAAAAAAACCAATGATCAGTATAATAGTCCTAGTAAAAATATGTATCTATGATGTTTATAGTACTTGATTGATAATTAAAATCCTAAACTAAAAAAACTAAGATTAATTACAACTAGTACGTATTTAGAAGTACGTAGCTGTTGTAGACAATAATTCAATTTACACTTGAATTGTCGTAATTATGTATACCTCATCACTTGATTGCACACTAATTCACAATCATTCGTTAAAGACGAATCTAAAAAATTGAACAGTTGGACTACGAAATCCATTGTAGATTTGAAGTATAAAATAATATATACTCAATCGAAAATGAAAAGATAGATTTAATTACTTGAGCCCTGGCCCGTTGAATTTCTTGTTCAAGTTGTGTGAGCTTGATTCTACTTGACTCTAATTGTTGGACATAAGCCTGCAATTACATTGAATTCTTAAGAAAATCAGAAAGGTCATAATCCCATTACTTTCCTTAAAAGGATATTAATTAATAATAATGACAATGATAATAGTAATTGTAATGATTATAATCATTATAATAAAAATAACGACAAGTCATGTGCCTTTTTCCTGAGCCTGCTTTTCCTAGCCGCCTCTCTATTTTGAGCAAGCCTCCTCAGCGTCTGCATAACATACATACAAAATTTACAATTTATGAATGCATACAAAATATGCATTTGATGATCGATATTCAAAAAAAGACATAAATTTTCGAATTAAAAAAGACATAAAAACAATTATAATAATTTAAGCAAAATGTGCATTTGTAGCAAAAATTATTGGATAATATTATTAATAGTAAGGGCAGCCTAGCCACCTTAGGATCAGGGGTTTTTGGACTGTCCTGGTCGCCTGTAGTAGAAGATGAACATCGGCGGTTTCCTTCACGCTGCACGTTTGTATTGGACTTATTTTTATTTATTTAAATAAATAAATTAGTTCTTTAAATAAAAACGGTATCAATCAATAGTATATATAGGAAATTAAAAAGGACAAACTAATTATTACTTGTAATAATTAAACGCCGTGTTTACGTGTTAATTATTAATTACTATATACCTTAGTTGCTTTGGGTGGTTCGGAAGTAGATGCACAAGCCAAAGTAACGACGTCGTTTATAGTGTTGGATGACATCTCCACGGACGGCTGAGATGGTCTCTTGGAACCCCCCGTCTCCAAAGATATCAATCCGCCATTCCCCTACATACCAAATTTAAAATGAAAAAGGCCATCATTGACCGAGTTAAATACTTAATTAATTAATACGGAGTAAAGAATTACAATTTGCTACTAGAATTATTATTAATTAATTAGAAAACCAATCATATAGCTTAATCAGACGAAGATGCACACATATTAATTAATTACCATATGCACAGAATTACTTGATTAGTCGTAAAAAAAGTACCTTATTATTAGTTGATGATGGGTCGACATGCATGGGTTGTGAAGGGAAAATGTTTAGAGTTGGTGGCCTCATTCCCCCAGAACTATCTGCGCCTATTAATTAGTACCAATAAAACAAATTAATTTACAATTATGGGAAGAAATTAAGAATCGAAGTAGTAAAAATAATGGAGTAATGTGCAATACATAAATATATCTGGGTAATTAAGAGGTAGATGAGGAGGATAGCAGAAGAAAATATTTGGAGTGGCATGTTATGGTACAATCAATGGAGTGTATGTATGTACAAGCTAGCTAAGGAAGAATTGAAAGGTGGATTGGCATCAAGTATAGCGAGTCTGTTACATAGTACAAAGAGTCCAAAAAGCACAGAATCAATAAAAATCAGAAATGCAGAAATGCTTTTTTCACTAAAGACTTAATTTTTCCTTGAAAAGAGTTCCCTTTACCTTTTTATTTAATTTGTTGAAGAAGAAGATGGATATGGTCAAATTAGAAAGTACTATACTTTGAGATTACATGCATTTCTCATGACAACTATTCCTTCCCTCCTCCCTTCATCAGATCACAGAATCTCATCTATGCATCTGGCCACCCTTCCTAACCTCTTTTTCATTTCAAACTAAAATAAACCAAAATTCTCTTTTTTATCTGCTTAATTACCAATAAAGAAGACAACCCCTAGCTAGCTAAGCTACCTATATAGCTAGCTAGACAATATGATGTTTATCTGTTTTCGATACGTACAGATGATGGAATTCTGTATCTTGAATTCCATGAAAACGAACATTAGATAGATTTCCAGAAAATTGATGGCCGGCCCACTTAATTAGCCTACGTACCTAGCCCCCGTCATTAAAAGATAGAAAGAAAGACGACAGAAAGAAAGAATCTTGAAGGGATAGAGAAGAAGATCACGTCTTTGATCTTGAAGGGATGAAGGTTCTTGACCATCCAGATAAAGAAAAAGGGCTTGATCCAATTCCCCCAGATCATATGCTCCTCCACTGCTCTCCTTGCTCCTGCAGTTAATCAAGTTCTTGTTTTGAGACAGTCAAACATTAATAAATTAACGGAAATTTTGAATACTTTTTCTGGGTATTTAAAAATGAATAATGAATTACATGAAATTGCCCGGAGGAGGAAGGTGGGAAGAAGAGGAGGAAGGTGGGGAGTGGAGCATTCCGAAAGAAATCTGGTTATTGTTGTGTGGGTAGTGAAAATGGTGATGATGGGATTGATGAGCAAACGAAATCTGACGCTGATTACTATGGCAAGCTGCTGACTGGACCGCCGCCGCCGCCGCCGCCGTGAGAGGGACTCCCACGAACAGCTTTTCGTCATCATCCCCGCCGCCGCCACTGCTGTTGTTATTTTTATCATCCTCTTCCTCTCCGCCGTGCAGCTCAAAAAGAGCCCTCTCTGCAGACCCCATGATTCAACAACTGAAGAATTGAACTGAACACCCCGGCTCTAGAGTAGACCAAACTAGAAGAAAGAGATGATGAGGATGATCATGTATATATACTATGATGATGAGGGATACAATAATTTAATACCCATCGACTGAAAGTCTCAAAGATCCGACCACTCTCTCTCTATCTCTAAAAAGAAAGTAAGAAATGATCGAGAAGAAAACGGTTCCGGCGACTCGGAAAGATATAGAGGGAGAGAGAGAAAGGAAGAAAACAGCTTAGCAGGTCATTATCATTAAAGAAACCTTCCTTAATTTCCAGCTTACTTGTCCGACCGTCTCAGTCTTTGCGGTGTCGAATGACCAGGATGCCCTCTGCTTCCCTTCCTTATTACCTTTCGCGATTTCATGCCGCCTTTTGAAGCTACACGTACACCGCTGACTCCCCCGCTCCAAAATTGTTTTGAGTGTGGGTGTGAAATGGGCAGAAGTGTTAGTGACACAAAAGCAATCAACGCTTGGAAATTGAGTCAATGTGAATAATTAAGTTTTACTCGCAACTGATCAGTACGTAGGCGGTCATGAAGTACTCCGTATTAAATAATAATCATGATACCATGGTTTAAACTAATTATCTACCATTCACTCTAATTGAGTGGCAATTTAAGAATATAATGTGATCACGGTTTAAGTTTATATAATTACTAATTACTAGGATGATTTGCAATTCAGCCAATTCTAACATATTAGCATCTATATCTTTATATTTAATTATTTGTCCTAATATATTCATGACATCGACAATTAACATTGGTTTTGACTGTGAGATTTTTAAAATCAGCCTTCTTTAGTGTGTGTAATTTTGTATTTGCATTTTTTTAAATCAAGTAGGTGCTTCTGTTTAAATCAAGCACATTAAAATGATGAGAAAATATCCAAATAGACTCATTTACTATTTTCAAACATGGACAAATGCAAGTTGAGCTCCCCTAGGCGTCGGCTTGAGCGCACCCCAAACCCTTACTAATTTCATAATTAGTACTATTCGTCACATTAGAAGGTTCTCGTTCATTATTCACATGGTCAACTTAAATCATTTTTAATCTTTTACTTTATAAATAATTTTTTTTATCAAATTTACATATTTTTATCAGACTTTGTGGCGGTTTTAATGTAGTTTCTGAATATGTTAATTTTATTTACTAAAAATTATATGAGTGTGAACAGAGATTAAGTTGTTTTATCGTCAGTCAAGCATCGTAAACCGTCAACGGGTGTTGGGATCCCTACTTAATTGGAGAGGTTCTAGAAAATTCTAGAGCTTTCTAGAGAAGTATAGAATTTTCTAGAACGTTGCGGAGAATCCTAGAGAAGTCTAGAACTCTCTAGAAGCTTGCGGAATAATGTGGAATCCTCTGGAATATTCTAGAGATGTGTGGAACCTTCCGGAAGCTTATGGAAGAGTATGGAAGCATATGGAAGAGAATGGAGAGGTGTAGAGATTCCTTGGAATTCTCTAGAATAGGTAGTCATGTAGATCATTCTAGAGAAATATTATCCACCACTCATTATGGAGGTGGAGTAGTATAAATAGGAGTAGGAGCCTCCATTCCTAACTATCTCAATCCTAATCCTAGCAATCCTAGCAAGAGAGAATCCACTTCCTAGAGTGAGAAAGCTAGAGAGTTAGAGAGCCTCTTTGAGAGAGAAGAGAGTTAGTTTGGGAAGGTCATATCCTCAAGTTTGAGTGAGCCACCATTGAGTGAGACAATTTTGTAACATTCTTGTAAATCCTACTATTCTTTTGTATAGTGGAAGAATCTCCATATTGGAGAATTTAAATCGTGTGCTCCCATTACTATCTTAATTCCTAAGTGCCTATCTTAACTTCACGAAGCGGGAAATTCCGGAGTTTTTTCCCAACAGTGGTATCAGAGCCAGGTTCATTTGAGGTTGTCATCAGCTCGTGTAGTTCAAGATGGAGGATAGCGTCGCCCATGATGGAGACATGTTGAAGCTAACTGCCAACAACTACTCATATTGGAAGCCAATGATGGAAGACCATTTATACTGCAAGGATTTGCATGAGCCCATCATCTACAAAGAGAAGGTGGAAGGCAAGAGTGACGCTCAATGGGAGCTACTGAATCGGAAAGCCGTTGCTATGATCCGTAAGTACATCGACAAATCCCTCTTCGAGCATGTCTCCACTTACACGAATGCTTATGAATTATGGACAAAACTTGAGTCCATGATTCAAAAGAAGACACCTCGTAATAAAGCCAATTTAGTTCGACGGTTGGTGAAATTGGAGTATAAGGATGGTCAAAGTATGATTGAACACTTGAATAACTTCAAGGGGCTCGTAAATTAACTAACAAAAATCGAGATGAAGATTGATGACGAGTTGCAAGCCCTTCTACTCCTTAGTTCTTTGTCAGAAAGTTGGGACACACTCGTGGTTACACTTAGTAACTCAGCTCCGGAAGGAAAGCTAACCATGGACACCGTCAGTGATAGTCTTCTTGGCGAAGAATCAAGGAGAATGGAACGAGGTGAGTCTATGCATCCTGAGGCTAATGTTATCGAGAACCGGGGTAGGAATGAGACTCGTGGACGCAGTAAAAGCCGAGATCCGCAATAATCTCGAGGTAGGTCCAAGTCACGCTCGAAGATCACATGCTACTACTGTGGAAGAATGGGCCACAAGAAAATGGAGTGTCGATCCTTCAAGAGAGACCAGAAGGCCGGTAACGTCAAACCAGACCAAGTCACCCCAACGAAGAAGCAAGAAGAGAAGAGTACCACTGTCGTAGTCGTAAAAGAAGATCTGCTATATCTCGTTGGAGAAGGTAATATCCTAAACATTGCTTGTGATGATAGTTCCTGGATTATCGATTCTGGTGCTTCGTTCCATGTCACTCCCCATGGAAGTTTCTTCTCATCCTACCAAAGTGGTGACTTCGGTACGGTTCAAATGGGAAACCAAGATAGGAGCAAGATCGTTGGGATAGGAGACATCGTCCTGACAACTAGCACCGGATGCAAGCTTGTTCTCAAAGATGTGAGGCATGTCCCGGCCATGCGCCTCAATCTTATCTCCGCTGGAAAGTTAGATGATGCTGGTCTGATGAATTACTTTGGTGAAGGAAAATGGAAGCTCACCAAAGGAAGTCTAGTCATGGCTAGAGGAAAGAAGGAAGGATCGTTGTATGTGATGCAAGCTAAGGTCTGCAAAGGAGAGGTAAATATAACCACTGATGACATGGAAGTATGGCATAAACGACTTGGTCACATCAGTGAGAAGGGCCTTCACATACTTGCTCGGAAACAACTCCTCCCGGACGTGAAAGGTAAGTCACTTGATCCTTGTGCACACTGTTTAGCTGGAAAACAACAAAGGGTTGCTTTCCAAAGATCTTCTATGCCCACAAGGAGAAAGAACATCCTCGACCTTGTACACACCGATGTGTGCTCAATGTCCGAGAGATCTATTGGTGGTGCGTTGTACTTTGTGACCTTCATTGATGATCATTCAAGGAAGGTATGGTTGCACCTGTTAAAATCAAAGGATCAAGTACTTGACGCTTTCAAGGAATTCCACGCTCTTGTAGAACGTGAGATAGGAAGGAAGATCAAGTGTGTACGATCTGACAATGGAGGTGAGTATAGAGGTCCCTTTGAAGCCTATTGCGAGAAATATGGCATTAGGCTAGAGAAGACTCCACCCAAGACACCACAATTGAATGGGCTAGCTGAGAGAATGAATAGAACTATTGAAGAAAGAGTCCGTTGTGTGCTCTCTCAGGCTAAGTTACCCAAATTCTTTTGGGGAGAAGCTATAATGGCCGTAGTTGACATCGTCAACCTCACACCATCGGTTCCTTTGAACGGCGCCATCCCAGAGGAAGTATGGACGGGCAAAAACGCTTCATACAATCATCTTAAGGTGTTCGGGTGCAGAGCATTTGTTCACATCCCCAAAGACGAGCGAGCTAAGCTCGACGCAAAGACGAAGGAGTGCATATACCTTCGCTCACCCAAGGATGAATTCGGCTATCGGCTATGGGATCCAATCAACAAGAAGGTTGTTCGTAGCAGAGATGTGGTGTTCTTCGAAGACCAAACAATTGAAGACATTAAAAACTCGGAGAAGCCAAGATTGAGAAGCAGCAGGAGCACCAGACCTACGCAAGTTCGATGTGAGGATACTGATCAACATCAAGACAATAATGTTGAAGACCATGAGCCTGTGTTAGAGCAAAGAAACCAGGAGACTCATGATGAACCAACTAAGGAAGATCCTCAATCTAGTTCTCTGCCAGCACCAGAGCCGAGGCGATCCTCAAGGGAGAGAAGACCATCCACTCGGTACAACACCGAGGAGTACGTGATGCTCACGGATGAGGGGGAGCCACAAAGCTATAAAAAAGCAATATGTGATGTTCATAAGGAAGAGTGGAGAAGAGCCATGGAAGAAGAGATGCAATCCTTGCATGAGAATCACACTTATGAACTTGTGGAGCTGCCAAAAGGGGGAAGAGCCTTGAAGAATAAATGGGTGTATCGAATCAAGACCGAAGACAATAGCTCAAAGCCTCGTTACAAAGCTCGATTGGTTGTCAAAGGATTCGGTCAAGAAAAAGGCATCGACTTTGAGGAAATATTCTCTCCTGTGGTAAAGATGTCATCCATCCGAGTTGTTCTTGGCCTAGCAGCGGCGCAAGATTTGGAGATTAAACAACTCGATGTCAAGACAGCGTCCCTTCACGGCGACCTAGAGGAAGAGATCTACATGGAGCAGCCCGAAGGGTTCAAAGTTCCGGGCAAGGAAAACCTAGTATGTCGCCTCATGAAGAGTCTATATGGCCTCAAACAAGCACCGAGACAGTGGTACAAGAAGTTTGAGTCCTTCATGGCAGAGCATGATTTTACAAAGACAAAGAGCAATCATTGTGTCTTCATAAAGAGGTATGCAAGTGGCGACTTTCTCATACTTCTACTCTATGTTGATGATATGTTGATTGTTGGACAAGATCGCGTAAAGATAGATGCTTTGAAGAAAGGTCTAAGCAAGAGCTTCGCCATGAAAGATTTGGGACCGGCTAAACAAATCCTTGGGATGAGAATAACTCGTGATAGATCGAAGAGACTGTTGTGGCTATCCCAAGAGAGGTACATTGAGAAAGTGTTGGAACGGTTCAACATGAACAAATCAAAGCCGGTAAACACAC